GACGCACCAACCAAGGCGCCCACTGGTGACTGCTCGTGCACGGATGGTCAGTGCAACAACAACAAGTGTGTCGGCTGCAACATGCTCGGCAGCGATGGCGGCTACTGCTTCAACGACGTCGACAAGGACAGCTGCGTCGCATGGGGTCAGCCATACGTGGCATGCTACCTCGACACACCCACGCAGCAACCGACCTCTGCCCCGACCTCGGCCCCAACGTCAGCCCCGACCTCGGCCCCAACGTCAGCCCCGACCTCGGCCCCAACGTCGGCCCCGACCTCAGCCCCGGCGTCTAACGATTGCGTCTGCCTCGACGGTGACGGGTGTCAAAATGACGTCTGCGTCGGCTGCAACATGCACGATCCGCAGAACGCGGGCAACTACTGCTTCAATGACGTGACCCAAGACAACTGCGTCGGGTGGGGCAAGCCCTTTACGTGGTGTGCGTCGTCGCGGTAGAGTGTCTAAATAGCATGTCGTCCTTTGTCTTATCCTGTCGCGTGTATCTGCATCACGGCGCGCGCTCGGAGGATGGCCAGCGCTTCTTCGCACACGAGGACGCGGTGCACGAGGGCGCGGACAATGTCGTCGTCCAAGAACTCGGCGATGCTGTCCATCGGATCAGCATCGCTACTGCACTCTGTCTGCTTCACGTCGTCCTCCCGCTGTGCCAGCGACTCTGCCTTTGGCGGCTCCTCGTGAAGAATTGGTGGTTCTAGGATAGGAGCTAGCGTCTCCTCGGCAAGGGCTGGCGTATCCTTGGCAAGAATTGGTGGCTCCGCGGGAAGAGCTGGTGATTCTCGCGGCTCGCATGCAGTTGCTGGTGCAGGCGCCGGATCGACCCAAGACGTCACTACACTGGTCACGAGATCGTCCATGATCGAGGCCAGCATCGTCGGTGCTGTGTCCTCGGGCACCGAGGTTTCGTTTTCGGCTACAGAGTCCAGTTGTGCCATGGCCGCCTGCGGCATGGACTCCACCACCAGCGGCGCCAGCACCTTTCCAAACGCGATGCCACGTCGCGGCGGCCGTGGCGGTAGAGCGGGTGCATCCATGGATGGCGCGGTGGAGCTCGTTGGCGGCTCCCGTGAAGGGACGGTGGGCGACGCCGCGTCATGTGCAGCTTGCTGGTCCATCTCGATCATCGCTGCTACTTGCAGATTGATCGTGGTCACCTCGGGCGCAATGTCATCGTGTTCTGGAGTCGGCGCCGGGGGATCGAGGCGGTACGGAGAGTTGTCAAGTGGCGCGACCAAAGGCGAAGCCAGAGGCGAACTGGGGGCAATGACCGTTGCTGGTGCTGGCTGCTCGGGGTGTTCGCAGATGTCGACAGCAACCGCCAAGGGTGTGGCTTGGGGCATCTCGTCGGCAAAAGAAGCACCAACTTGGAAGAAAGCTGGGGACGGAAAACCCGGCGGGTCGGTATTGTCGAGGTGCATGTAGTCGTCGATAGCTTGGCTCCAGTCGGGAAAGGTGAGCGGAGCGTTCCACTCTACGTGCTGTCGAGCAGGGTCAAAGCCCGAGAGCCCGAGGCGTTGCCGGAGACGCTGGATCGTTACTTCTGGGTCTTCGATGAGCACTTCCTCTGGTCGCACGTACCACTGCGGCCCAACCGTGTCTGTCAAGCTGCTGTCAACAGAGATGGCTTCGAAGTCGTCGTGGCGACCGCTGAGCGCACTACTATCGTCGTGTTTGGGAGACGAGAGCGGTGACAGGCTAGCCCACAGGTCTTGTTCGCCGTACGATGCTTTCTCTGCCTGTTCGTCGTATGGCGCCTTCTCTTCATGCTCGTCACGGTCCAAGCTCCTGCGGCTGTCGTGCTGCGTCATGTCACTCGCGACAGGCGACGCGGGTGGGCTCGGTGGCTCAGACAGGACCACCGAGTGCTCTTGCCGCTGATCTTCTTCTGCTGGCTTTTCTTCTTCTTCTTCAAGGTCGTCGTCGACATGGTGGCTGGCCATCTCGCTGGCTACCGATACCGACGCCGCCTCCACCGACGCAGCATCGTCGATGGCTTCGACCCCATGCTCCTCGGTCTCCTTCTCGTCCGCGATCCACCAGAACTCGCGCTTGGACGCTTCTCTCGAGCGCGCTCTCTCTTGCCGCGACGTCGCCGGGCCGCGGAAGCGTTCGATGTACGCGGCAATCGTCGACCGGTCCCCGGCCTTGGCCATCAGGATCGAATTTGACCTGCTGGAAACCTTGATATAAGAACAGAAATCCTGTAACGAGTAGTAACTGGCAGCAGGGTCTCATTTTTGCGATCGTCAGAAAAGGCAGCAAGCAGTTCCAGCCCGACAACCGACGACGCCCGTGCTTGGATGCAGCGCCCGTACTGGACCCCGGGAGCGACCAAGAGTGCGGTGACTCCCAAGAACAACGGAGTCAAGCCTTCAGCGCCAGTCAAGACGACTGTTGCACCACCTGCAGCCGTGCAATGCAAGTTGCCAGCGGCGCCATCGGCGGCAACGCCACGCGCACGGACTAAAGTCGCGGCGACGACCAAGCCTCCAAGCCTTGTCAAGCAGCTTCTCAAGGTCTGCAAGATCGTACGCCAGCCGGTAGCCCCGAAACCGGTAGCTCCTGTTGTCGTGACCAAGACGGTGCAACGAGCGGCAGTGCAAGCCAAACCACGCCCCGACCTCGCACAAAGCACTGTACAGCCACGAAACACTGCCGCGAGAGTGCTCTCAGCACCCAAGGCCCGGCTGCAACCAGTCACCGTCACGTTGCCCGCGAAGCGCCAGCCAGCGAGGTTGCCCATGCGCGAGCGTCTCTGGCGCATGACTGATGTCAACGGGATCGACAGCCTCGTACCTACTACGGGCGCTGTGTACGGTTGCGCAAAGCAGTGCACGTTTGACTGGGCCAAGCCCACGCGCCCATCAACCTGTGACGGCCCCAGCCAAGGTCAAGGGTCCACGGAAACTGAGATCATGTGGAGCATGCTCACCCACCGCGTCCCAGTGCAGTATTCACCCTCGCTCTCAAGCAAGGTCCTTACGCGCCCGAGTCCATGGTGGGTTTCGTACCCCCAAAAGGTACTTCGCAACACCAAATATCGCCTCCACGACAGCTTCCAGTCGCTCGCCCCCGACGTGCTCCTTGCCCTTGGGTACTTTTACCCGCGTCCCAAAGCTCGCCGTCTGCGCTTGGCATGAGCCATCATTCTCTCGCGCCATCCTTGCTGATCCTTGCGCTTGTAGTTGGGATCACTCGTATCTAACACTGTAATCTTATGACCTCTTTGAACATTATTGAGAATACGCCACGTATGGGCATGTCAGCGACTAAAGCAGCGTAGCTAGATAGGCCGATACAGTCCCGAGCTTATGGAGGTGCTGCAGCGCAACGAAAGGTCGTCGTCCATCGATGAATTGCGACCGCTTGGAACGGCGCCGCCTGTCGCTTTCATCAACACTCTTGGTCATGGCATCTTTATCCGGAAAATCCGGAAACGGTGCAGAATGTAGCTCTTTTTCTCTTGCGGCGCCTGACAATCAAAAGCCAAAAGCCAAGCGACGACACCGGAAGCATTCGAGAAGCATGGCGCTGTACGTGTGGGGCAAGACCTGCGGTATGAACGATACGACGATGAGCGACAAGGAACGCTCCGTGTACTACCCGGTGAGGCCCACTGCTTGCAGACGCCAAACTAACCGGCGACGTAGACGCTGCTCGAGCACTTTGGTGGCAGCGTCATCACCGACTTCGCCGCCGGCGAAAACCATGCACTCGCCGTGACCGAGTTTGGCGACGTCTACTCGTGGTATGGTGACTCTTGCCAGTGCTGTCGTCATGGGCGATAGGGGCCGGGGCAACGACGGCGAACTCGGGCATGGTGACCGCGAGGCGCTGACAACGCCGCAGCGCATCAAGGGCCTCGAAGACCAGATTGTGACCAACGTGGCATGCGGCAACGTGCACTCAATCGTAGCGTATACGTTGTCTTTGCATGCGACTCACGCGCGTCTCGTAGGCGGCCACGATCTCGGGGCAAGTGTACATGTGGGGCCTCTTGCACGACCCGAACCAGCCGGCCGAGCCAACGTCCAGCGCTGCCTCGGGCATGCTGCATGGCCTCACGCCTGCCGCGCCCATCGATGCCACGCTGGCGCCAGAGCTCACGTTCTTTCAGCGCATCGTGCAGGACGCCGAGTCGCGTTTTGCTGAGGGTGAAAACGAAGTCTCCGACTACGAGCAAGGTCCTTTATCAATACCAATGCGCCACGAGCTCACACTGTGCTTGCGTAGGCATGAACAAAGTGTCTCTTGTACGTTTAGAGTTCGCTGGTCGCCTCCATCTCTCCGTGTCTCGTAGTTTCGCAGTCGGCAGACGCTGCCGCGGCTCTGCACGTCGCTGGTGGGGCATGTCATCACGAAAGTGGTTGCTGGCTTTGGCCACAGCATGGCCATCGATTCGTGCGGCCAAGCGTACAGCTGCGGCTACAACGAGCACGGACAAGTCGACACTCGACTCGGCGTCGCGCGTTCTCATACTGTCGTCGTAGCTTGGCCTCAACCACGTTCGCATCATGACCGAGTTTACAAAGGTCTGGGCGACTGCTCTCATCGTGTTCCGACGCTTTGTAGATTCCAGCGTTTGCTGGCTCGTTTGTCAAGGACATTGCGTGCGGCCAGCAGCACAACCTTGCGCTCGTCATCTCGTCGCCGGTGCATGGCAGCGTCGCGCAGTGCTACACGTGGGGCTTGGGGTATGTACGTCATCGCAATAAGAAGGGATTTGCATATTGCTTGGTGCTAGCGCCTTGGGCCAGCTCGGCCACGGCACGCGCCGATCGCTCATGGTACAACTCGTGTTAATGAGGATTCTTCTCTAGATCTTGACGCGTACTTAGGAGCCAGAGCTCGTGACGGGCTTGCCCGAGCCGATCGTTGGCGTGGCGGCGGTGCGACTGCATGGACTGGCGCTCTGGAGCGCGCTGAGGCCCACGTAGGGCAGTCACCACAGCGTTGCCGTCGATGAAACGGGTGCTGTGTACACGTGGGGTCACAGCGAATATGGCCAAGTACGTCGGTGCCGCCCACGTGGACAGCGTGCTCAGCGAGTATTCTAGCACGGCGTCGCCTTCAACGGCCGGGATCTGTACGACAACCGCAAGTACTTTGTGCCGGTCAAGCACGAGTCGCTCCGCGATATCATCTCGGTCACGTGCGGTATGTCAACCAAGTCGTGGGCGTCGACAGCAACGCGGTGCTGTAGGTTCACACTTTACGCTCGCGACAGATGTGCACGGCGTCTTGCATTCGTGGGGCTGGAACGCGTACGAGGCTTTCCTCTTCCCAACGTTGCGGCGACCTATAAGGCGTAGGTTTGGCGTCCTTGGCACGGGCTTCTTCCAGGGCTACACGCTGCCGCAGCCACTCGACCACCTCCGCGGTCTCTCGCTCTGCCACACGCGCGTACGTACTCGCTTCACAGTGTACTTGCGCATGTGCGACAACCTAGGCGGGCTACAACCTCTGCGGTGCCATCGTGCAGTACCTCGGGCTGCCGTATGCGATGGGCTTTCGATCGCTTCTTGCCTCGGGCGCGGTGCGTCTGCAATTCTGGATCCTACCAGATCTTATCATGTCGATCCTAGTTTTCCGATGTCTCGGTGGCACTCAAGGACACGGTGGTGCGTCGCGATCTCGAGGACGAAGGAGGCCGCTCAGTTGGCGTACTAGATGCCATTGCACAAGGTCTTTCTCAAGGCTCGCTGCCCGCAGCTGTATGGCTACATACGCGCAGCCGTCGCCCACGGCGACGCACCGTCGGGGGTCGTTCCCCTGGAAGGTCTCGACCTCCCGGGCCTCGATGCGTCCGTACGCTTGCTCGACATCAACATGTTAAGGACTCGGCGTGGCATGGACTAGATCCTGAAGGCACTCATGACGTACGTGTACGCCGACCGGCTCGAGATCGCACCGCACAAGCTTGCGGCGCTGCGCGGTGTCGCCGACGCCCTTGGTCTCGTACGTCTTATGGCCATTAGTCGATGGTGTGCGCTGCATCGATGGCGTAGACGGACCTCGTCGCGCGCTGTGAGCACCACCGCAAGCAGCGCGGCGTGGCGGCGCCCGAGCCCGCGTCGGTCTTTAGCCGGTCCATGGCAACTGTCGTTCTGGATGCGACGGAAGCCGACGTCTACTTCCTCTGGGACGACGCGCGGCTGCCGGCCCACAAGGCGCTGTTGAGCACGATCCCGTACTTTGAGAGCTTGTTCTCTGGTCGGTTCCGTGACGTGGGCGACACGGTCTCGCTCGCCGACATGGCTGGCGACGGCTTGGACGTCGACACGTTCAAGCGCGCACTGCACTGGCTCTACACGGGCGACCGCGCAATGCTCCAGACGCTCGAGCTGGACCAAGGTAGTACAGGTCGTGCGATGCAGTGGTGACGCTCGCAATGACTAGTCGTCGAGCTCGTGGTCATGGCCAACCTCTTGGGCATCGAGAGCCTCGTCAACGTCTGCACGCTCCAGCTCTCGGCGCTCGTGGCCAAGAATCCTGCGGACGACCTCCTCGCACTCTGCTGGGACGTGGCCGACCGGTACGTGCGCCATCACCTCGGACGCCAAACGTCACATTTTGCCGATCTTTAGCTTGGATCTCCAGCGCCTCAAGTCGCAGTGCCAAGTGCTTCTCGACGCAGCCAAGTAGACATCATGCATATCCAGCATCATCTTGGCTGCGGATGGCCACAGCCCGCAACGTTGCCAATGGTAAAAATATCTTGTCGGATGCTTTATTGCTCTCCTGCGAAGTGTTCAAATACAGCGAGAGTCACGTATAGATACGTGACGTTTAGAGCCGAGGTTCTTGTGGGCACGCCGTCGTAACGTTCTCGTTGCTTCGACGTCCTGCACTTAGGAGCAGTTGAGCATGACTGTACAGTATAGGATATCATTTCGTAGGGAGAGGGGTGGTGTTTAAAAACACCAAATTGAGGGAGGCCATGTTGCCATGGCCAAGCAAATGCCACGCTCATCGCTCGAGGATTTAAGCCGACGACGTGAACTTGGTCACGGCCTTCGTGCCTTCCGAGACGGCGTGCTTGGCAAGCTCACCGGGGAGCATGAGGCGCACGGCGGTCTGGATCTCACGCGACGACAAGGTCGACTTCTTGTTGTAGCGCGAGAGCTTGCCGGCCTCCGAGGCGATGCGCTCGAAGATATCGTTGATGAACGAGTTCATGATCGACATGCCACGCTTGGAGATACCGGTCTCCGGGTGGACCTGCTTGAGGACCTTGTAGATGTACGTCGAGTACGATTCCACGCGCTTGCCCTTCTTGGCCTTGCCCTTCTCGCCCGTCTTCTTCGGGGCCTTGGCGGACTTTTTGCTGGGGGTCTTGGCCATCTTGCTGGTTCGAATGGAAATTCAAAAATGAGGCTTAACGGAGGCCAGCGTAGGTGCCGGATACGAGAATACGCTCGGCGGTTCCCGCCCTCCGTTATCCGGACTGGCCAGACACGACGATGGAGCTTTTTGCGCAGGGCGCGAAATACTTGCATATGATTGGCCATGCGGATTGTCGAGCCTCTGATTGGCGGAATACTTCTGGCACGGCCGCCGCCCGACATCGCTCATTGAAGATTTTGATCTCTACAACACAAGCACAAGATGTCTGGCAAGGGTAAAGCTACGGGTGGCCGCGGTGCCAAGGGCAAGGCCTCGTCGCGCTCGTCGAAGGCCGGCCTCCAGTTCCCGGTCGGTCGTGTCGCTCGTTTCCTCAAGAAGGGCCGCTTCGCCCAGCGCATCGGCGGTGGTGCCCCGGTCTACCTCGCCGCTGTCCTCGAGTACCTCTGCGCCGAAATCCTCGAGCTTGCTGGCAACGCCGCGCGCGACAACAAGAAGTCGCGTATCATCCCGCGCCACATCCAGCTCGCGGTCCGCAACGATGAGGAGCTCAACAAGCTCCTCGGCGACGTGACGATCGCGTCGGGCGGTGTGCTCCCCAACATCCACAACATCCTCCTTCCCAAGAAGACGGCGCCGACGACGACGCCCGTCAAGGAGAAGAAGACCAAGTCCTCGGCGTCGCAGGACTATTAAATGTCCCTTGCATCCTGCCGACCGTGATGAACGTCGCGGACACGCATTCCACAACAACCTGGCTTTTCTAAAAGCCACCCATCCCTTGAGAAAGGTTATCAATTATCATCGAAGCAACAGTAGTAGAATTAGCCATATACGTCTTGGTCAGTAGCCTCGGGGAAACCAGCGGTAACCACGGGAGCCGACAGGGAATCCGCCTGGTGTGATGACGCCCAAAGAGGCCCTTGCACTCCTCGTATGGGCCAGGTCACAATAATATGCGCAGGCAACCTGACGAGCTGTGCCAAGCTGCACCATCTCGACCACAGCACGCGTCGTGCTTGGAGCGTCAAGGATGCTGGCGCTATAAGAATACTATAGAACTGTGAGAATCTCGTCAATCCATGAATGCACTTATTGGTACTTGGATCTTGGATTCAAATGCACTTCTTAGCTGCAGGCTGCAACGAGGTCGCGGAGCTTGCCGCCGTCGAGGAGGCCATGGAGGGCAGCCGCGCCGCCGACAAAGGTCGACTTGATCCACACGCTGGGCACCGTGTTGAGACCGGAGAGGCTCACGATCGCGTTGTAGACGTCCGTGCCCGACGGATGCCCGGCGCTCGTGTCCATGTGGACAACGTCGACGGCTTTGGCGCCTGCGCTACGCAGCGTCGCGTCTGCCGCGTCGCAGAGCGGGCAATTGGCAACGCGAAACACGGTGCACTTGGCCGTGATCTTGCGCACGTAGGCGACCATCGCGTCGGACGGCGCCCGCAGAAACAGCGCGACAAAGTCCTTGGCCTCGGCCACGCGGGCGTACACGCCGGGAACACCGTCTTGGCCGCAGCCGACGCCCCAGCTCACAAGGCCGACAAGCACCTCGCGCCCTCCATCCACGGTCGTGAGGGGCCCCCCCGAGTCGCCTTGGCAAGCGTCTTGGCCCTGGAGGCCGCCCGCGCACGCCATGGAGCTGTCGACGACCGCAAACTGCTTGGTGCACGACTCTTGCGACCACATGCGCAATGTCACTTGCTGGAGCGCGTTCGCCTGCTTGCCGCCCCAGGACGTCGTGCCCCATCCGCGCGCAATCACCGTCATGTTGGTGAACGCGTCGGCGTCGGCGTCCCACGCCACGGGCAGCGGCGCGATCGAGCTCTCTTTGGCGAGCTCGAGGAGGCCAAAGTCAAAGCTGTTGGTGCCCGGGTTGAACTTGGGGTGCCGCGTCTCGCGCACGACAGCGATGCGTTCACCGTCCTGGGCGCCGTTGAGAAAGTGCGACCCGATCGACGCCACCTTGATGGCGCCGTTGCAGCAGTGCGCGGCCGTCAAGACGTACTTGGGCGCAATCAGAATGCCGCCGCAGAGGTTCGTGCCAGTCTCGTCGGCGCGGAGCCCGACCGTGGAGAGGAACTTGCCCACGGGCGCCTCGTTGCCGCCCGTGATGCCTGGAGAAATCGTCGGCTTGGCCCACGCGGTTTGCAGGAGCGTCCCAGCAACGCCAAGAAGCCACAGCACACGCATGGCGAATTCGAATGTGGCGCCAACTCCACTGTGCGACGATTCTCTTGCACGAGCTGACACCAGTCGAACGCGCGATCCAGTGCAACCTCACAGAACGACCACGGCAGCAGCGGGCTTAATGCCTGATGCTTCTTCGTCCAGTCCTGCGTGGACACTCGTGCGTGCTGCCGGGTTTTCGACATAGTAATACACCTCGACACGGCGGTGCAGCGGGGCTTTGTGCGTGCGTCAGACGAGCTCGACCAGCGCAACTCGTCGTTGGGCTATATAGGGCGTACTACTACTACTACTACTAAACGTGGTGTGCCCGAGGGTGGAAGGGTAGGAGAAGGTGTGCCCGCGGTCCCAGCGCATCGTTCTTTTGCCCTTGGCAACGTCGACCGCGACCATGTTTGCCTGGTACCGTAAACGGACCGTCGGTGACGTAGCATCCAGCGCGTTTCGCTGGCGATCGAAGCAGCGTTCTTTCTCGCGAAGAGGTGCGAATCGCTGATGCACGAAACGGCAATGGATTTGGATCGTCCGACGCGAGCGCCCGACGCCCGTCCCCATCACCCAGAAAACATCGACGACGCAGCCATTTGGACTGCGTGCGGCCGCGCCGTGGCCCGTCGCAGAGCCACTTGCCGTTTTGCTCGCGTAGAAATGCAATCGCCTGCGCGGTCCATGCGACGCGAGGTTGACCTGATAGCGCGAAGCGGCACGGTGCGCCCCAACGCCGCCGACGAGAAGTGCGTGTCGGTGCGGGCTGCGTCGCGACGCTTCCTCGATCGTCCTGGCGGCGTCACGGCGCCAGCCCATCGTCTTCGCAGAGTACCACATGGTGGCTGCGTGGGACACGCGGGTTCCCGTCAATGGAAGCCATTTCATTTCGGCGTTCTGGCCTACAACGAGGGCTTTTTTCGTGGGGTCGACCCCAGCCAACGTCGTTGCGCCTTCTGTTTCGACCGTCACGGGCCGTAGAGGCGACGCTACGCTAGTCGAAGCTGGTGGCCGAATTGATGCGATGCCGACGTAGCCGTAGAGGTGACAAGGGGCTTCTGAGCATGGCCTAATTAGGGCGCGGAGGTGGCGCCTCCAGAAAGGTCTTGGACATGGCCGCCATCTGGCGCGGGTTTTACACGTCAGGTTTCCTGATAACCTCTCGCATTGGCCTATTACTCACATACAGTTTCCAAGACGCCTCTCTTCATGGAAGCCTACGACGACGACGACCATCCCCGCAGCCCCTCGGACGACGACGAGACTACGGAGCCGAAGCGGCGCAAGACCAAGGACGCGGACGACGACCACTCGAGTGGTGGCGACCACCGCAAGCTCAAGAACCGCGAGGCCGCCGCGCTCTCGCGCCGCCGCAACAAGGACCGCATGGAGCAGCTGCAGCGGCGCGTCTTCGACATGGAGACGATGAACACGCGCCTCAAGGCACTTGTCGACGAGCTTCAGTGGAAGATGGTGTCGCACGGCCTCGAGCGCGAGGTCCACGAGTGCCACGCCCAAGCAGGCATCGTTGTCAATGGAAACCACATTGCCATGCAGTCGCCACGGAGGAAACCCAAGGCTGCGAGACCTAGTGTGGCGAAGGAGCCGGTGGCGACACCAAAGGCCGCGTTCCCGTCGCCGCACACGGCGCCGATGCGCCCGCAGCTCTCGGAGCAGCGGCTCTTCCCGCCGCCGAGCGCAGCCCCGCCGTCGTCGCGCACGTCGCCGTACATGTACCCGCCATTAGTGCCACCGCCGCGTGAGTACGCACCCCGTCAAGAAGTGCAACTCGAAAGCCACGTCTCCGCACTGCTCGGGCTGCAATTTAGCCAGCCCATGGTCAAGCCCGAGCCGCCACCGCCGTCCTCGTACCCGCCGTTCCCGTACCCGCCTTTTCAAATGGACCAAGCGCCAGGCTATATACCCTACCGGTCGTCGTAAAACCATAGTCCCAACAACTTTCTTTGCCTTAAATTCTCTACTCCATAAATTGCGTCCACCAAGACACTGTACCCGTCACAAAAGCACTCTCGTAGGAAAGCAAGCGCCGCGACGACATTGCGCATCATCGGCGAAGGCCAGCCTAAGCTACCAGAACTGATATCGGGCGCTATATATAGATGTGCGGCTGGGAATCGTTGGACCGGACGTTTCACAACACATCGCTCTGGACGCGGACGACCAAACGCCAGCTGTCTCACGAGCAGCGTTGACTCGTACCAGTTAAAGCTGGTTGTGCGATGTCTATCGAACGGGCCGCTTGCATCGATGGACAAAAACGGTGCAAGCTATGACACGTTGTCCGTCTTCTTTGCGACGAGCTGGATCATCGGAAACCCACGTCACACGCTTGAATATGCTCTTCGATAACGTTAAATGCGGATTTATCCCTTTGTTCGCCGGAGTAAACATTTTGAAATCCAAGCTCGCTCGTCCGTTTCCTCTCGTCGGATCCTCGTCCACGGTCCTGATATACCTGGTACACATCATCTGACACTGATGCCAAAGCCAGATCTGCCAAGCCCGTGGCGATCTTGCCCGCGCCAGAAAGGTCGCATTTCATTGGGTACTGCAATCGCCGCCAAACGCTGTGATTGGTCCTATTTTAGAGGGGCGGCATGCCATTGGCGCCTTCATTTGGCCCATCGCTCCATGAAATGGTTTTAAACCGATGTTCGCTATTGGGATCTTCCTACAAATATAGAGATACATCGTTGTATTCTACTGTTTAAAACACATTGGTCGCAACGCCAGTGAAGTCAAAAGGCAATGGCACGCACCAAGCAGACAGCTCGTCGGTACGAAGGCAAGGCACCGCGTAAGGTCGTCCCGGCCAAGAAGGCTGTCATGGAGGCCACGATCAAGAAGAAGACCCAGCGCTACCGCCCCGGCACGGTCGCGCTCCGCGACATCCGCCGGTACCAAAAGTCGACCGAGCTCCTCATCCGAAAACTCCCGTTCCAGCGCCTTGTGCGCGAGATCGCGCAGACCGTGCGCCAGGACCTGCGCTTCCAGGGCTCTGCCCTCATCGCGCTCCAGGAGATGGCCGAGGCGTACCTCGTCGGCCTCTTTGAAGACGCCAACCTCTGCGCCGCCCATGCCAAGCGCGTGACGCTCATGCCCAGCGACCTGTACCTTGCTCGGCGCTTGCGCCACGAGCGTTTTTAACGATAGCACGCTCCTTATTTATCACGTCCAGAGCATGGCCCGGCCGATCGGGTGGTTCCCGAATGCGTCCTGCAGCTCCTCGTGCGAGAACGTGAGCGACAGCGCCGGGTTGGCGAGCGTGCCTTGGCCTTTCAGCACGCGGAGGACATCCGAGCGACAGAGCTCTTCACACACGAGCTGCAGGTCCTTGTAGCTCGGGATGCGCGGCAAGCCCGCGGTCTTGCTCAGCGTCTCGACACGCGTCGTGACGGCTTCAAAGTGGGCACTCGACACTAGGATATACAATAAGAATCACTTTGCGTCGGAGCGGATACGATGCACCCGAATGCATCTTGAGCTCGCGGTAGAGCGCAAGCAGAAAGACACACTCGATCACGCTGCAGTGCTTGAGTCGCATGGTCAGCGGCGATTGCGACATGCTCAGCTGGGCGCCCTCGACGTCCTTGGCCGTCACGATGCCGTGGGTCTTGGTCTCTTGGTACCGGCGCAGCGTGGCTTCGGCCGCCGCCTTGCACACCATGAGGGCCTTGCGGATGTCGCCCGACTGGTGGGCCAGTGTCTTGGCCACGAGGTCCACGGCGCCTACAAGCGATCGACGAAGCCCAATCAAAAGGTACGACAGTACCTGGCTCGAACACGTGGAGCGTGGAGAGGCGCTGCGTGACGATCGCTTCGATCTGCGTGTGCGTGTACGACCGAAACGCGATGCGGTGGGCGCCAAAGCGGCTTCGCAGCTTGGGCGGGAGGCGCTCTGGCAAGTCCCTACGCAGAACGCACTTGCGGCATCGTGTGGAATGCTATGCGTACATGATGTTGGCGATGCCAACAAGGACGAGCTTGGACGTGGCCATAGACTGCCACTCGAGGAGGTTGTACAGCACCGTGTTCTTGCCCGCGAGCATAAAGTCCATTTCGTCCAAGAGCAGCACGAGCGCGGGGCGCCCCGCCGACGCTTTGCTAAAGAGAGCGTGGAGGCACTCGCGGGCTCTCTTGGGGTTGAACGACTTGGCCGCAAATTGGTGCTTCTCGAGCGCCTTCCAGATGATGCTGTAGGCAAGGTCCGGCTTGGGCATGTGCAGCCCGTTGACCTCGATCCAGGAAAAGTCTGGCAGCTTTTGGGCATCGCGCAGCTTCTCTAAGCTACCGATGATCTCCTTCACCGTCGCCGTCTTGCCCATCCCTACGCACCGAAATAACGTCACCTTGCAAATACACGTAGGTAGACCTGGGAGCCCGCTAATGTAGATCGGGTCGCCGTGCCCGTCTTGAATCGCAGAGTGGACCGTGCGGTAGATCTGGCGACGCTCGTCTTCACGGCCAATGAGCTTCTCGGGAATGCTCGAGAGCTGCAGTTGGTCGCACGCCGACTGCAACTGCTGCTCCGTGTCGTCGAGCGCGGTCATCTCGGTGCGATGGCCGCGAAGAACGTCGTGCGGCTGAGGCAGACCCTTCTGCTTGAGGCGGTGGCTGTACACATAGGCGCGCGACGCCCGGGCCTCGAGGGACAAAGACGGCAGCTGCGTGAGGCTGCTCGTGAGTGTCGAGTAGAGCTGTGTGCATGCATAGTCGGCCATGTCGACCAGGCGCACAATGTCTGCAAGCGGTAGCTCATCCACGTCCGTTGTCTCCACGACCGCGAATGGATCGTTTGTTGTCTTGAGCTTGGCCTGCTTCTTGAGCGCAGCCGGAAGTTTGTGTGTATACATGAGGTACCGCACTTCCATTCCCTTGGCGCCTGCAGGATCCTCCCAGAAGAGGTTGACCAGCGCCAGCGTCGGCCTGGCCTCCGAGCCACCGGCGACGACCACGACCATGTGCTGGTCGACTTGCACGACGTCGCCGCTTTGGGTATTGACCAGCGCGCTGGCGTAGTACGTTTCGCCGTTGATTGTGCCCAAGGGAGCGCCGACCCATGCGTCCTCGGCTGCGGCCACGCGCCGCTTCTTGGATTTTGGTGGCATTGGATCTGCGTTTAACGCAACCGTGGCTTGCGGTTTAAACACACGCGCTAAACAGTTTAGCGTTTTACTCTCAAATCGTATACGCTATACTATACAGATTGAAAGGTAATACACTGTGACAGGCATTTACCCTCGCGCGATTTACTGGATTGGATACGATGGCGGCGCCCCACCCGTACGAGTGGTAAGCTCTGCATGCAGCTTGGCCGTCGAGGCGGCTTGATGACCATGACGCATCACCCTTCTCATGTCCATGCGCAGTGAGATCGTCCTGGACTTTGCCTCGGCGGAGGCTGCCACGTATGCCTACGAGACGCTCAATGTCGACGACGAGATCTCGCCTGAGAAGATCACCAAGCAGCTCTCGACCAACGGCCACCAGCTCATTGCGTACGTAGCTCTGACTCGTCTTCATGGCAACGCTCATGCCGTCGTTGGTTTAGCCACTTTTGGGCCTGCGAGATCCGCATGCTCCGCGCCGCTGCCTCGTCGTTCTACGACATGGCACTCGTGACCTCGCGCGTGCTCTTGGAATTTGACGGGCTTGACGAATAGAAAGCTGCCACAATCTTCATTCGTGTGTGTCTTGTGTGCTAGCTCCTGCCACGCTGTATCGACTTGCTGCAAATTGGAGACGCTACCTGTCCTCGGCAACGCGAGACGCTCGAGCGTACAGCCGCAACGCTAGCACGCGCTGCAGTACTCTGCGTATTGACTAACGAACGCAAATCTCCCGGTTAATCTGGTCTGCCTGTGTCAAGTCTAGCTACACGACCAGAGGGACGTGGCCAACCAAGCCGCTCTCCCGCTGGTTTTGTCAATGTCATGGCATTCGAGTCCATGACGTTGTACCCCGGTGTACGGAAAACAATCGACTGCATATACCTAGCTGTATACCTAAACGGGACCCCGGGGTACAGTTGAAAGCATGCGAGACATGGCGGGCACGAGCCTCCCGCAGATTGCCCATCCGTTGCTCCACGTGGACGTCGACCTCGTACAGCGTGTCGAGCTACTGCATCGACCTCACACTCCTGCCGTAGCTAGCGCGCACCTTGCTGCATGACGGTGCCACGCCTGCGCCGGTGCGTTGGACGCTACCCTGCCTGTCTAACGACCGCGTAGAGCCGTCGCCCACCATCGCTCGCCGAGCAGACGGCGCAAGCGCAGCTCGAAAGCATCGTCGTACGCGCCACAGTACCAACCACGAGGCTTACGCATCCTCGGCGACTAGGCGCATGTGGAGCAGGTCGCGGCCGACGTGGGCGACACCAAGCGCGCGCGGTACGCCCTTTTGAATGACGTGTGCTGCATGATGGCACGTAGGAACCTCATTGCGTCATTGTGCTCGATCGTTTTGACGCAGTGGAGAGACGACGACGCCAAGCCGCGCAAGACGATCGAGCGCCCGCGACGCGTCGAGCTTCTCTTCGCATGGCTCTACCGCTTGGATGCGTCCAGCGTGCTCCACTGCGTCCATCGCCTGCTCCAGGGGAGCGACAAAATGGTGCTCCTCCGCGTCTACTGGATGCTGCGGGATTGCACGAAAGCGCTACTTCTGGCTAACGCGACGGAAGCGTCTGCAGAGGCGGGCTGGGAAGCGCTGCTCGACGCCGCAGTCCGGGACGCCGTTACCTACACGACCGTGCAAGGTCTGCGTCCTTGTGCGATTTACCCATACCGTATGGAGTGTTCTGACGTAGAAAACAGCCAGTCGCCCACCAAGCTCAGCGTGGCGGCGGCCGACGCCGGCCTCTACGTCGCACATGTCCTCGCGCTCGGGACGCTCGACGCGGGCAACTTCCGCGTACGAACAACTCTGATGCAGTACATATCGCTGCAATGTATATGGTGCTGTTGGTAGCCTTTGACATGTGCGCTTTTGCGGCGAGTCGCCGCGTGGTACGCGCACAAGCCCGCCCGGAGCCTCTGGGTGGCTGGTATCACCGATCTTTTGTCCTATGAGGTCTGTGATCATGAGCATCACGGAGGCGCTCACCTTGCGGTAGACGGACCCCGCCTTTGCCTACGAGTACCACCACTCGGGTCTCCTTCTGCAATCGATAGCGGCATTGACCCATGAGAGCGTGCTGCGGGGACTTTCACATCTCCAGTACACGACGCCGCTTCGTCACGATCTCTTAGCTCCTGTATAGGAACGCGCGCTCGGGTGCAACCGCGCTGCGCAACCTGGCCTTGGTGCTAGGGCGCCAGAAAACAGCTCTACTCCTACCCACAGCGCTGGAGCTTGTGCGAGTACGGCACATCGATGGTGTGGCAGACTCTGAATGGATACGTAGGCCGTCTCGACGTACCTCGAACCCAACCCCAAGGCGCTAAGCTGGGCGCTCGTGGACCGTGTCTTGCATCAACCCGGCTGGGACGAGGCGGCGCGATCGCCACTACTCGTGCCGGTCGTGAGCCACAGCTTGGTATCGCCAGCGGTGCGCCCTTTGGTGGCGCGACGCCTCGTTGACTGCAACGACGCGCTGACGCCGGTAGTGATATGTTCTGTGGTCTTCACGCTCGTATGACGTCGAGTGTAGCTGCTTGACGTCATTCGAGATGCATCGACGTCGTTGGCAACGCTCCAGGTGGGCTGCGGTGCGAGATGCCACATACGTATCTGAATGCATTGTAGCAAAGCCTGGGACTGGTCCGCTGCGTCGTGCAGCAAACCGGTGCTCCGCGTCCTACGTGGTTCCGTCCGCTCTCGGTCGCGATTCTTGAAGTGTACTTTTACCACCCAGCCCAAGTCATTCGCGATGAGGTACTTGATGTCTTCGACGCAAACACTGACGTTGGTATTAGTGTCTATGGTTGCTGCCGCGCCTCGATCTCCCGAGTGTGTTTGCTGCTTGCGGCGCTTCGCTACAGCGCGCAGCGGATGGGCCGTTGGTGCACTTGACGCTCGCTTTCCTCTTTGCGCGCTACAACGACACGCTTTTCGAAGAGCTTTTGAACCTCACCAAGGAGCAAAGCTGTCTCGAGACCTTGTCGCCTGCCGACAAGGCGGCGCAAACGACCAAGCTCCTCAGCTTGCTTCCTCCGTACGTTCAAGCAACTCAAGCTCGAGAAATGATATCCAGCTCGTTCTAGATGGCTGCGAACCCACGTACCTCCGTCTGCGAGGCGCATGGTGACAGACCAAGCGGTCGCGTGCTTCTTTGCGGATGCCACGGACGGCGTCTCGCTCCACGCGCTGCGGCTCGTGCATGACGCGTGGCCGTCAATGTTTCCCCGCATCTTTTGTCGCCTTGTCACCGAGATCCTTGTCCGACAACGACGACTCAGTGTGCATTCGCTTCATATTCGACTGCGTAGACCAACGCACGCGCCATCACGGTGGCACATGACGACCCGACGTTTCCAAGCGTCCTGCGACCGTACTTGGGCCTGCGCGCGTCGAGCTTTACGCAGTGGGCTACCTGCGACGAGCGCTCGCTCCAATTACTGCAAACCCACCTTGTCCAGAGCCTCTGCAACGTAATACTGTCTACGAGTACTATCTCGCGTCGTCTCACTTGATGCGGCAGGACGCGGCGTCGTCGACGGTGCTGCGCGTGCTAAGCGACCTCGTGGCCAAGCTGCCACCCGCGAACGTCGTACCGGACCTTCTGGCGCGCTTACCGCATCCGTCGGTGCGGCAGGTGGTCTCGGACAAGGCCGTCGGCGTCCTCATCTACACGCTGGCGTACCTCGTGGCCCACCGGATGGCGACCTTTGCCGCTTGGGGAGCTCCGGTGATCGCGTACTTGGGCATTGCGCTCTCCGTGCCGGCCCCGGCGAGTGACGAGGCGCGGCACGACCAGATCTTTTGCGGCCTTGCCGAGATTCCGCTGGCCCTGTTGCACACGGCCGTGACGACGGTACACCAACATTTCCTTGGTGGACACACAGTCGAATCTGGGGGTAGGGGGACCTGGCGTGGATCTACTTTTTCCTCGACGCTGTCGTCGCCGGTGCGTGGCACCGACCAGACGCCATGTACCCTGCGTGCACGCGCGTATGTCGTAAGGAGACGGCCATCGGCATGCCATTCCGCATCCACCTGAGCATCATCTTGCTCCGGTATAGTATCAATCTTTCAACGAATCCAGTGCCAAAGGCGTGGCGTAGCCTGATTCAAAACGCACCGGATTTGCCACGTTGTGTCGTCGATGCGCTCGTGCAGTCGGTCGCGGATGCGTTTGCCGGGACGACGCAAAGTGCCCGCGACAACATTGACGGCGTGAGTCTATCGCTCGAGGTATGCTACACTATCGTGTGCTGGGATTTGCGACTGCATCAGCGTTAGATCGTTGCCCAGCTGATCATGGTCAACGCCGTCGTGGAGGCGAGCGACGTCAACACTCGCCTCGTGCGCACCATGGTCGACGTCCTCACGATCCAAGACTTGAGTGACAAGGTACAGGATGGATCCCGAGCCACGTGTATGGACCTATCGATGTAGATGACGCTGGAAGTCCTCGAGACGCTCTCGCTGGTCCTGTCTGCCGCGCCTGCGATCGCCGCAGCGCCGCCACTGCCCTCTGTCCTGCTGCGGTACACCCCATTTCTGTGCAACGAAGCTGGTCGAGCCTCTTTGGTAGACAATGTACGGCGAGTCTGGCCAACGCCACGGACGAGGCGATCGCAAGCCTCTGTCGTGCGCTCATCGTGCACCTCGAGGCACAGCGCGGCCCGTAGCTGGCTAACGAAAATGAACCTTGCGACGCGATTCTACACCAGCGGCTGCAAAATCTGTTACCCTTGACGAAAAACCTCTATGGCCTCATGTCCAGCTTTAAAGATGTGGGCCGAGCGGATGATGCTCAACCCAGTCGAGTTCCCGGGTGGCTGGCTGCCTCGAGGCCTGTCGCGACGCTGGCCTGGGACGTCGTGCGTCTGGCATCTTCAACCCTGATGCATCCCGCCTGGCCATTGGCTGAAAAAACGAAGGTGGTAGGGTTCAAGTCGTTGTGATTGGCTGTGCCAAGGCTGCTACGCGTCGGTGATTGGCTGCGAAATATTAAAGCGTTTTTACCCGTCATTTTCGCAATTTCGTGGGCAGGATGAGCACTTCCACGAGCGGTCTCCTCGGGGCGAAGAAGAACATGAGCAACTATGGCACGTACCATGGCGACCCGGTACGTCGCATGGACTCCAGACACGACGCATGCTCATGCGCCCGCTGATTAGAACGTACAGCGGCTCATGGAGACCTCCGACAAGCTGGAGCGCACCAAGCAAACGATCGCACAGGCCGACTTGACGGCTCGGCATGTGCTCGTGGAGCTCGAGAGCCAGCGGGGCCAGTTCCAGGACATGAAGGACATGGTCCACGAGACGAACAGCGCAACGACGCAGGTCAACCACTATTTAGTCCAGATCCGCGACCGCGCGCTACGCCGCAAGATCTGCTTATGGTTCATCATCGTGCTCCTCACGATCGCCGACGTCTTCTTCTTTTATTATTTCTTCCTAAAGCAATAGAGTCGTAGTCCGTGTACAATGCAGTGATGTCTTCGACGACTGCCCAGCGAGCCGCGCCGTTGTCAGCACCTGAGTTACGAGG